GTTCAAATGTAAATACATTCATTTTCATCTAAATATTTGAAAATTATCTCTCTCAGCTTCAGTTTCCTGGTCTTAAATGGACATTGTACTACTACCAAAACAAGGGTGATACTGGGAAAATTGGATGATATATTTACAGTAAAACCTTGGATTGAGAGTAACTTGGTTTGCGAGGGTTCCACAAGATGAACAAACATTTCTAATACATCTTTTAACTTGGTAAACAAGCAAAGTACGAGCAATGTCTTGCAATACGAGTAGTTTGTTTCCAGAACGAATTATGCTCGAAACCAAGGTATTGCTGTAAAATGTGTAGCACAGTATCAGGGATACAACAGGCACTCAATTGATATGAGCTGTTCATTTTCTTCTTTAATTAACATAACTCCCTAAGTGGACAATAGTTAGTGGCAAAGTCTAAGGAAAATCTATTCTTGAAACTCATCTTGATAGAGCACATTATCTTCTTGTTACCAAAGAAGAAATAAATTAGTTCATACTTAAAAGATAATTTTCAAATATTTAGATGAAAATGAATGTATTTACATTTGAACAAAGCAAGTACAATTATTAAAATTACCTCTACAAGCAGCCTTCCAAAAGTTTTCCTCTCCAGGGCATACTTGGTAGCTTCATCCAAAGCTCTCTGTGCTAGTCCCACAGCACCAGCTGCTACCTAGGATTTTAACATTTTACAAAGCAGAAGTTCATGTTGTCTGTAAAACATATATATATATATACTGGCTACTTGCCTAACAGTCTATAAATTAAGGATTATACAGAGAGATGACCTATAGCTTAAGGCAGCAAGAAAAAGTGGGGGTGGGGAGAGAGAAACGCAAGCATTTAAATTATTTATGCATTAAAGGTTAATGGAAGGCATTTGTGAGGCACAGGATCACAGCCTAGAGACAAATCATTCCAACTGTTTAGCAAAGGAAAGCTTCTTAGAGGAAATATTCCTAATGGGTGAGAGAAGAGGAAATGAGTACATATCAGCAGGAATAATGAAATTACATGTGAACTGCCTCTATAAATCTAGCAGCAAGCAACTATAGTAATTCTGGATCTGCTAAAATAATTTCTGTAACAGGCAGCAAGAGTTGACGGATTCTAAAAAATAAAGTCTCTCTCCATCGTTAATAAAAGCAGGTATTAAAAAATAAACACCAAGCATTCAATGTTAAAATAAAACTACTCAAATGCAACAAATAAAAGATCGTATAAAGATTATCAAGTCATAATACTTACTGGAGGTCTGGTTTTATCAAAAGCTCCCATGGCAATTTTGAAACCAGCTCCTTCACCAATTAAAACATTTTCTTTAGGCACTTTCACATCTTCAAAGACAATTCCTCTTGTATCTGAACATCTCTGGCCCATATTTAATTCCTAATCAAGGAAAACAATATATATTAAGGAACATTTTTTGAGCTAGCATAAATTTTGGCTTAAACCATTTCTTTATGACTTTCTGTAATTGTCTAAAACAGTGGTCAACAAACTATGGCTTGCA